CATTTTCTAAAACTCTTGAATCCCTGGTGTGTGTGTGTGCGTGTGCGTGTGCGTGTGCGTGTGTGTGTGTGTGTGTGTGTGTGTGTGTGTGTGTGTATACACTGATTGACACCCATCTGTGTATCCCAAAGTGACTAATATGACTTTTTATAGAAATAAATTAATGAGGCATCCAAAATGAGAGTAGGGCTCATTCATATCCCGACCAACCCTCCAACCCATTCTGATTCTGCCAAGTGTAATGCAAATTGTTCTGTTCTGTGTTAAGTATGAGAGTATTGATCCTCAATCCTGAAACAGTAGGGGAAGTAAGAATTGTTTTTGTTTTGTTTTCTTTCTTTTTTCTAAGAAAACAGACACTAGGTGATTGAGATACACAAAGCTACATTAGGAATATCACAAAGACCCAGGTATTAGGACTTACCCCCCCCCATCTTCAGAAATAGAATATAGTACAATGGAGTATGTCCCATATTTTCCTTTTATGCCCCTCTCCAGTTGTGTTCTCTCTTTTTCAGAGGCAGCTGTTCTTCAAATATAATATTTATCCTTTAAAATTTTTCATATATTCTTTATTGACAGGCGTGTGTGTGTGTGTGTGTGTGTGTGTGTGTGTGTGTGTGTGTGTGAGACAAGGTTACATTTTACATAGTTAATATTTGTATACCACGTGTCCTTGAGCAGTTTACTTTTGTCTCTACATTTCAGCAGTGAAATTTATTTCTGTGGCTCTCTGTATCTCTATAGTTCAGTTCTGTCACTAACAAGTGTTATAAACCAATTTATTTTTCACTCTCTTGCGTGACAAACTCCTACCTCCTCTGGAGTAGAGAATAGCCATCTCATCACACTTCCCTCTCCTACCTCCCATTGTAGCAGGGCTTCAAGACTTGAAGTTTCCAGGCTTGGTTCTGGAGCTCAAAGATATTGTCTTCTGGCTCAAGTAGATTTTGATGTTTGTGTCTTAGCTTTTCCTTCTTTTGGACTCTACTGTACATTTGAAAGACATGTCTAAAAATTCAATGCATTTCTGATTTGTACCAGGCTGTGTAGGCTTCCTCATACCTCCAGTGAGCAGCTAATCCACTGATGAATAGACAAGAGTACTCAGGATATGAGAAAAGGCACTGGATTGGGACTGAGTCTCATCAATATCTTCAAATAATAATGGCCATGTTGATAAAGACAGTTACACTAACATGGATGACTAAATGATATAATTTCACTGAGTAATGTTCTGCCTCCCACCCCTCCATTTTATAGCTTATGTGTTTCATCTAGGGAATCTTGTTAACATGTAGACTTGCTACCTCAGGTGGAGGTAAGGAGTTGAGATTCCACACTCCTAACAAGCTCTCAGAGAACACAGCTGCTGGTCCTCAGAGTCCTCAGCCAGACTCTGAGCAAAGACAATGTATGGATAGAGTTTACATTTGGTTCAGATTTTAGTTTCAGCTTTTCCTCCATAGTTTTCATCTTTTTATGGGGACTTTGGGACAGTCCGTGTCTCTTGTAGTGGTGCTTCCTGAAACAGATGACAAATCGAACCGTCCAGATCAACCAAATAAAAATGTCTAGGGCTGGGATCTACACACAGCTTTTAATGGCATTTAGGTTACTTCAATGTGCAGTCAAGATTTTCAAGAAACTTTATCCGAGGGCAGATGTTCTCACACTTTGGCACACATTAGAATTTCCTGGAAGTGTTGTTGAAATGTAAGATTGCTAGGGATCAGTCAAATGACTCAGTGGGTCTCGAGTGGACCTAAGAATTTGTATTCCTAGCAAGCTCCCCGGTGATGTTGGAAGACTGCCAGCCTTGGGACCCCACTTTGAGAGCCATTACTAATGACTGGAGTTGTCCTCAGTAAAATAGACACAAGTATTACCCACTTCTTATGGCCATTGATGGTTTAAATGAGAAATGTCCCTTGTAAGCTCCGGTATTTGAAGACTTGGTCCCCAGTTGGTGGCACTGTTTGGGAACCTTTGTGAGGTAAGGCCTTCATGGAGGAAGTATGTAAGGGGGCAGGCTTTGAGTGTTTATGGTATGGGCCCTACTTCCTGTTCACTCTCTGCTTGGTGCTTGTGGTTGAGGATGTGAACTCTCAGCTTCTGGTTCCTGCCGCCACAACTGTCAGTTACTTTGATGCTTCCTTGCCATGATGGACTTTTATCCTCTGGAACTACAAGCCAAAGTAAACTCTTCCTTAAGTTGCCTTGGACATGATGTTTTGTTGCATCAACAAATGTATCTAATACATGGCTCAGTAGACAATCAAGAAATGACTTCCCTTATGATGGTTAAATCTTGTGTTGTATCTACATTCAAGTGAGTTACTTAGTAAATCGTTAGTTGATTTATCCATAATATTGGTTAGGTTGTTTTACTTAACATGTTTGTTTTGAAGTTTCCCAGTTAAAGAGACACTTCTAGGTGTAGTTAAAGTGATAGCATTGCCTCTCAGAAGTATTCAACACACAGTCCAGTTCCATTGACATTCTACTCATATGCACATCTATGGTCACATCAGTGACTACACATCTACATTCTCATGTGCCGTGAATACATCATACTTCCAATATTCTTCTCCTTCCTCCTCCTCCTCCTCCTCCTCCTCCTCCTCCTCCTCCTCCTCCTCCCCCTCCCCCTCCTCCTTTTTCTTCTTCTTCTTCCCAGCAGCCCACACCTACCTGTGACAGAAGTAGAGTCTCTAGAGACTCAAGTTTGTAGAAGCTGGGGTGGTCTCTAAAGGAAGGTAGAAGAGAACGAGAGGGGTTTGGTGTACCCCCTTCTGAGCCTTGAAGCTCTGCCAAGAACACATTGCCTCACCAACTCTGACACCAACTCCGTTGTGATTTTTTTCTCCCTGTGAATGCCGTGTTCCCATACAGCTCCTTCCCAGGAAGAAGCATTCCCAGGTGGGATCCTCTGGCCCAAAGGCTGCTGCTTCAGCACTGTCTTTGTTAACCCAAGGAGGCTGCCTTTTGGGTTTTGCAAAGAAGCACATCATTTTCACTAAATTCTCTGTGTCAAAAATGACCCCTTGCTGGGCTTTGCAGCTTCCCCGGTGAACTGTAGCTATTGATCTTGCTACCAGCATTGTGAGTAATGCCGACAAGACAGTTTCTGGTGCCTTCTCTGACAACTGCCCAGATTTGGGACTCAAGCTGGATGCGGACTGCATCATAAACATGCCCAGCTTGTGCTGACAACATAGAAAACACTTGAGGATAAACATTTGTGCCGGCTAAAAATGTCTTGTGGGATCGGGAGTGTTTCATCAAAAGACTTATCTATGCATTTTGGAGGGTGTCTGAAAACCTTCTACAACCCCAAAGCAACGGTTCTGACTGACTCATTCATCAGTATCCACTGCATTTCTTACCCTAAGCTTCAAAGAGGGAAACTGAAATGAAAGGGTTAATTCTTATTAAAAAGGGACTTATGTCCTTCTTGGGCGATAGAAGGACTTAACTGAAGGATGCTTGCTGTACACAGGCATTTGGGGCTCAGATCTGACCTCTTAATGTCTCCTGACAAATCTGGACTTGAGGATCAGGATCTGTTGCCTAAGAAAAGATGGTAATTCTCCCTAAGCAATTGCTGGGTTAATCAAGTCTGTCACCAGTTCTAAGGGCAATTGTAGCCAAGTTGAGAGGGCTTTAGAGCCAAGGCTAGTTGCTGTTTTGTGAAACAGTCTGAAATAATTCTCTCTTGGGTCGATACCTCTGGCTTGGACAATGCTGCCTTTCTAGAGTTGAGTTTAGACAGCTGGTCTCAGGAAAAGCTATGCATTTATTAAGACCCATGGCCACTGGGCATTAAATTCTCCTCTAATCTGGAGCAGAACCTAAAGAGGATGAGAAAGAATCCATTAAGGGGAGAGAAACACTGCACATCATTGGAAAGCTCTGTAGCCGTGATGGCAGCTAATGCTGTGGGCACATTTTATAAATGGCCTTTGAGTGGGGAGGCAGAGTGCTCAATAGAATATGTATCTATGTTAGTTTTTTTTAAATGTGTTCCTGTCCACTGATAGAAAGAAGAAAAAGAACCACTACAATAGTAATCCTCATTCTTAGGAATTGTGCACCTCCTGTGCATGAAGCATTTCCCACAGGAGATCACTGCTCTTCACAGTGATTCACAAGGGGAGGCCTATCAATCCATTTCATTAGGAGACGCACAGAGAGGAGACATGATTCGTCCAAGGTTGAATATCTGGTAAGAGAGTAAGCTGGGGCTGGGAATTTAATCAAGATTATGGAGCTCCTAGCCTGATCTCACTGAGGAGGCAAATGGGCCAAAGGGAGAATGGATCACAGGAGTGTGAAGAGCATCAGAGGTGACATCCAGTTATAACAGGAACTATGGGGTAAATCTGAGTTTCAAAATTACAGGAGCATTTGAATTACTTATACTCACTGCAGGTTATATTTTCTATTCTTTATCATCTATCTTTCTTTCTTTCTTTTTACCTTTCATTCTTTTTATCTATCTATCTATCTATCTATCTATCTATCTATCTATCTATCTATCTACCTTTCTATCTGTCATCAATTATCCACCAATCTATTTATTATCTATACTTTCTACATAAATACAGAGGTTAGTGTTCTTTACCAAAAAAACACCATCAGATCAAGTGGGAGTCTGCCAGCTCATTCCATTTTCTTTCCTTTGGGGGAAAAACTTTTATGAAATTTTAGATACACAGTTCATTTTATTACATTTATCACTTACATACTGCATTCATAAAAACACATAGAAGTTTTATTTCTTGTAAGAGTAAGTGGTACTATATACTATAAATTCACGTGCAATGTGTTCTTTTAAAAAGATTATGTCTGATATTAGACTATCCTTGAATTCTGAGCACACTTCATTATGGTTAAATGAGTTAGTCATTATTTTAAAAACATGTTGCCTAACTCACTTTGTTAACATTTTTTTTTTACTTGAGCAGTCTTTAATGGAAGTTGTGTATGAAATGCCTCTATTCCTGCATCTCCTCAATCGTTTCTTCCTTGTATTCGCCCTTCTCCTTTCCTACTTGTCCAGAGTTGCCTTCCTTTTCCAGGAGCTTTTCGTGGTCTTTGTCCAGCTCTAGCCTGGTGATAGCCACCTTGCTGGGGTGGATGCCCACATGGACAGTTGCACCATTAGCTTTTTCTGGCTGCACCCATTCAGTGTAGATGACATATGTCTTTCTGTACGCTAGGACCACTTTGTCAATCTGCTGGCCTTTGTTGTGTCCTCAGACAATCTAAACTTCATCATCCTTTCCAATGGGCATGGATCGAACCTTGTACTTCTGTCTCAGCTCTTTAGGAAGAGCAGAAGACGTGATCTTCTTCCTCATGTGAGAAGGTGCATTGAAATGCTGTTTGTGGTTCTTGCTTCTGTCATAAGTTACAAAGGGATTGAACTTCATTTTGTCTGCTGTGATCCAGTGATGGCGGCCTCACTTTGTTAACATTTTACTGAGTATTTATTGAAGATTGTTCAACTGGGCACTATAGTATATGTCTGTGAACCCAGGACTGAAGAGGTAGAATTGTGTGAATTTGAGGCCAGTCTAGGCTACACAGTGAGACAACAAACAAAGAAACAGACAGACAGACAAACACTTCAGTGTTTTATTTTTGTGACATGACTCCTTGTTTCTGCATACTGCTTTCTGACTGTGCATGCAGAGCACTCCACTACTCAAGGTGGTGCATCCGGTGACATTGTTCTCCCACAAAGCAAGGCTAAGGTGAATTTTTAAAAAAACATCACCATTTAAAAAAAATCTCAGCAAGTTTAAAGAATAAAAAATAAATTGTATTTAAGCAACACCTCCAGAAATTTGTTAAGAATGGTGGTATTTGAATGATGGCCATGCCCTCTCCCTTTCCCAGCTCAGCATAAATAGAAGGCACATGCTCCCCAAACCCAGTATTCCATTCTCAGAACTGCAAACTGAGGGCTGTGCTTTTCTGGAGGAGAATGCATGGCCTCTCCCATCTTCCTTTGCTGTGTTTACTTCACCAAACACCTATTCTTAGGGCAGAGGCTCTGGGAAGCCAAGGCACTCTGAGAAGTCTGCATCCTCCCTTGTGGTCATCTCAAGCCATTTCTTAGGGTGTGACAAGCCAAAAAGACCTAGGCCACTGTCCCCACCCAATGTCCTGAACTTTGAATAATGGATGCAAGTCACCAATCACATCCCAGCTCCAGAGTTTATGGCTTGGAGCTTTAACCCAGAATAGAGGCAGGCCTTGAGAGTTCAGAGCCCTCCTTTAAGGAGCTGATTGCATTTGCAACAGAGTTTGAGGGAAGCTCAGGCTTAAATGCACTCAGAAAATCAATAGAAGTTTGAAAGGTGATAGCAACAAGCCACATCCTGGATCAGTTTGTTTTCTAGAAAGAACCGACAAGAGGGACAACTAAGAAGAACCATTTCAGGCTCAGAGAAAACCTCAAACACTGACCTCAGAAATATCCAACCAAGGGACCAAGTTTATTGGAGCAGACAGGGGACAACGTGTGCCCCAGGGCACCGTCGTCATACAGGAAAGAGGAAACATCTGGGGGTTAGTGGAGCTTGACTCCTGAGTGTGATCATGAGAAAGTGGAGTGCAAGGGAGCCCTCTCCGAATCACTGGCACTGCAGGGTGAGACCTGCACCACCAAGGCTCACTAGTGAATGGCTACAGCGCTTCATTCTGCAGTGGTGGTGAGGGAATGAAGGAATAGGCTTCGCTCATGTTCTCCAGCTCTCCGCCATAAAATGAATAAGCACACAATGGGAACACACTCCGAACTGCTGTCCTATGTCTAACCACCCCATAAAAAAGGCAGGAAAATCCAAGTCGCAAACTGGAAAACGGAAGGTGACGGACGCTCCCAGGGAAAGCACCTGTTTCCAGCTGACAGAAAGACACCCTCGCTGAAGAGGTAAAGTGCGATGACAGCGGATCATACAAGCGAAGAGAAAGAGTAGACACTTAAAAAGTGAACCAAGCAGAAACTGTACAGATGAAAAGCATAATAACCAAAGGTGTGTATTTTAACAAAAAATAAAAAAGGAATCAATACAAAATGTAGAAAATGCTTCAGGAACAGGATATAAAGGGAGTATTTTTGGTATAGCTAGGCAATGTGTGTTTAAGCTAAGCATTATTAGAAAAGTCAAAAAGTCTAAAATCTTGAAGTTGATAGTGTAAAAGACCTCTCATAAGCTAAGATTAGTTATTATAGTATAAAAAGAATAAGTTTAGTGAGGCTGAAGAACAGGGCGTTTAGCTCAGTAGGATGGTCCTGTCTGAGGCCGTCATGCTCACCAGCTGTTCACTGACTCGCCCAGAACAGCTATCTCAGGAGCTCCATTTAGGAGAACGACTTACATAAATGTGACATTTTTATCCATTATTTTTACTGCACCTTTTAATGCTGAGATATGCGAATACCACGGTGTTACAATTGACTACAGTGTTCAGTGTTGTAACAGGCTGTACAGATTTGTGCTCATGTGCTAATAGGCTCGCACGCAGGCTTGTGACAGTGTATTCTTGGATGTTTTCATAACCATGAATTACCTAGTGACAAATTTCACATGCCATAACCCTGTTGTTAAGTGCCAGAGACTATAATATGTTGGCTTGTAGTGCACACTCATGTAGATAATTACTAATCACAGGCAGAGGAGGTGAGAGGAAAGCACACTGGGGTGAGGGGAACCACAGGATGACAACTGCAGACATCAGGAAAACAGGGAGAAGCATCATCAAAAATAAAATAAAAAAGTTTCTCTAGTTCTTTGTTGAGCTTTTTTTAATAATAAACACATAAATATGTAAAGCAATAATTATATCAGGGTTTTTAACATATAATAAGAATCATACTTGCTGTAAAGATAGCCCCAGAATCCAAGTACAGTGGTATACTCTTGTAATTCCAGCACTAGGGAGGTTGAGGCAGAAGGATATGAGTTCAAGGTCAGACCGAGCTATGTAGAGAGTTCCAGGCCTGACTGGGCTCTAAGAACCAGTTATGAATAATTTTTAAAATGTAACAAAAAGGACAGGAGTGTAGTTATACTAAGTATTTTCTGTTTTTCTGTCTCATGAGAACTGTTATAAATCTAAAGTTGGTTCTTATAAGTTACTATATATGTAAAAACTCCAGAGATGACTAGAGAAATATCTTTTACCAGTAGTGAAAATTGCTAAAACAACTAAGTTGTTATAATTGAAAACATCAAGCAAAAAAGTCAACAAAGGGGAAGTAGAGGGTTTAACAAAACATTTGACATATGGAAGGAAAATGGGAGAGTATGTCAGTCATCACTAAGTATGAGTGTATTAAATCACTCAGGCAAGGGGCAGGTATCAGACTGGAGAAAAATAGAACACAGAGACAAATGGAGTTGCTCACCGTCTGTAGGAGGCACACATCAGACTCCACAGGACAAGTGCATTGAAAGTGAAGGGTGGGGAACATCTCCTGGGCACAAGCTGTCAGAGGAGAGCTGGGGTAGCTACACCAGCACCTGGGAGATTATTCTAGAACAAGGCTAGAAGAGAAAAAGCCAGATGCTGCACAATGGTGAAAGGAAGATATAACTACTATAAACATGTAGGCATCTGCAGATGATCCCTTGGATACAGAGAAGCTTGACAAAAACGGGAAGCTGAAGTAGGCATTTTAACGATAATGGAGACATCCATGACTCACTTTACTAACGGGAAGCTAATAGACAGGAAACAAGAAAAGGTACAGAAGACTTGAGCAGCACCCCAAACTGGCTAGTCCTCACAGACATCTGTAGAATACCATATCCAACAGCAGAACATACATTCTGATAAAACACATAAATGACACTCAGATCATAAAATTAGACTTAATAAATTTGATCATACAATGGGGTGATGATGCTGAGAATTAACAGCAGGATGACATTTTGCAAATCCGCAAATATGAAGTTAAACCATGTACTGCTGCAAACCAAGAGATAAATAAAAAATGGCAAAGGCCATTAGAAAACACTTCGCTATAAATGGAGCATGCTATAAAGACTTGTGGAGTACAGAGTGAACAATACTGTAAATGTGTACAGCACAATGGAGGGAATCGAATCTCTAACAGTAACATAACTTCAAGACACTCAGAACAGAAGATCAAGTTAAACTCACAGAATTCAAAAAGAAATAATCTAATGATACCCAATTCCCTTTTACAATAAGAGCACTCAAAAAAAGAGTAGGCAGGAACACTGACACCTCCCAAGTCATATAAATATGATATTTATAGAGAAAAAACTGAAACCCCCACCCCAGGACAAAAACAGAGTCCTTTCCATGATTATCACTTCAACCCAACAGTGGGAAGGTGTTTCTGTCAGAGCACTTGGGTTGTGAGATGAAATGAAGGTTGTATTAGCTGGCTCCTGCTGCCATGCTAAGACACTGTTGACAGCATGGCATAAACAAGAGGAAGCTGGTTTCTCACAGCTATGGAGAAATCAAGGTCCATCAGGGAACAGCTGATGATGGTATCCTCGGACCTGTAGGTGTCCCTGTGTTTGGGTCTGGAAGGAGCCACAGGATTTCCTTCTAATACTGTTCCTCAGGGCCCCAACTTTATGATCTTGTTTGCCTTTTTGTTTGTCTGTTTTTAATTTTTCTTTTTTGGTTTAAGAGACAGGGCTTCTCTGTGTAGCTCTGGCTGTCCTGGAACTCACTCTGTAGACCAGGCAGGCCTCTAACTCACAGAGATCCACCTGCCTCTGTCTTTTGAGTGCCAGGATTCAAGGCATGCATCACTACTGCCTGACTGATCCTATTTGACTTTATTTCCTTACTTCAAATATGACCACAGAGTAGAACTTTAACATGTCATTTTTTGAAAAAAGAAACATAAATATTCAATCTACAAGGTTCCACCCTGGGCTATTCCAAAACCATGCAAAATGCATTTGTTTTCAGCATCAAAAAGACTGGTTCATCACAGAATTAGCTTTAAAGTCCAAAAAATTACAAATTCTTCTGTAAACCTGTCTCAGGGAACATAGAGAAGGGAAGGTAGAGAGTATAAGAGGCAGGATCCCAGGAAGTCTGCTGTGAAACCCTCTGTCCTAGTAACGGCTGCATAAGCAAGACCAGAGCATCGGCAACATCGATGGATATATTAATGTAGAAGAGGGTTAATTTCATGGGATCCCACCCCTAGACAAAGACCAACAGGCAGCTAGTGACAGCTGGAGAAGGAGAATACACACACACACACACACACACACACACACACACGAGGTGGGGGGATGATGATATAATTCTATTTCAATTAAAACATATTAAAATTTAAAAAGTCATTTAAATCAGATATTGGTGAGACATGAGGTATGATTCACCCTGCAGCAAAATTCTCTAGCTTTGAATTTGTGAGACCAGG